ATATACTTCGGCCTTGAAATACCTATATAGGGACTACTTTAAGGCTAAAGTATATACCATAAAGGTACATGGAGCCTCTGACTCTAGGAAGTGCCTGAAGTCTTAGAAACAGCCCTAAACCCGGGGCGCAAAGTTCTGATAAACCTTACCTTAACCCTGAAGAACCTACCTTTCTAGAGTTCCTGATTATGATTTTACTATATAAGTCCTTAAAAAGGTAGGCCATTCCGGGTGAAGCTCCGAAATTAGCAAGGCCGAGCGGACGCCGCTCTTCACGGGTGCCGAGAGTGGGAGTGTGGAGGTGCCATGTAACAGGCTACAACTAACGATAACGCAACAAAGTCTAAAATACAACAAACACAACTGGAGCAGAGTACGACATACAATAAGATGCCATAATGCACTGCTAATCCCGAGGGTTTAGGGCACAGCCCTGAGCTGTAGTTGCAGGAGTGATGCTTGACTTTGCTAAAGCTATACGTTGCCGCGGAGAAGCTTCGGGATTCAGCTGACAGCTCTCTCCGGCATTTCATCACCAAACTACTGCAAACCTACACCGGCACAACATGTTCCAAGTCTCCCCCCCCGGACCGATGCGTTGGGATGGTGCATTGTTTCTGCCTAAACCCTAAACCCTAAACACCTAAACCCTGAACCCTAAACGTCGGATGCCAGACCCCATCTGCCCAGCCAAGTCTTCGGCACCCGCATGACGAGTATCTAGGGGTTTAGGGATTAGGGTTTCGGGTTTAGGGTAACGAGTATCTAGGTACTCTAGTTACAACTACAGTAAACTCCATAAAGTTGGAAACCGAAGCAAGGCCAAATAGAGCTGGAATTCCCTACACATTACCCTTGAGGATTGAGGCTATTGGGTTTCCAACTTTTGGGCTTCTACTGTAGTTGGATTGTCGATGGTAGCAGCACCTGCAACGATCCAGTATTGCAACTCAGATGGTGACTTTGCTGGTGGATTCACGGGCAGACCCCACCGCAGCTCGGTCACATGAAGTGCGGCTGCCGAGCAGCAGAACCCATAAGACCCATCTGGCAAAGAGTAATATCGGGGCCTCAATAACTAGAATAGGGTCGTGGGGCCGATTATTCTATTATAACAAGGAACCCCAAGATAGTATTGGTAATTTTTTAAGGGCTCCAGTTATCTAGATAGTAGGTTACTATCCATACATTATATACCCCAGTAACCTATTATGTAAGTAAGTGGAGCCTTAGGGAATAGTTCACGGGCTGGGGGTTTAGGGCCTTGACGCGCAACGTCTGGACTTCAGGAAGCTGAGGTTGTGCATTGAGCACGAGGGTTTGGAATTACATTATGGTAGATTGACCTATGCTTTAGAAGCTGCCCCCACCCTGTAAAAGTGACTATATTCCTATTATACCACTATTACAGGGTGGGGCCCCCTTCTGAGCTACACTACATAATGTTGTATTGTACTATACTACATTACTGTATGTAGGGTCTGCGATCTGGGCCTAAAGAAGTCGAAGTCATTGACCGGAGACTGCTGAATGTTGGAGCAGCCACAAGCATCACTACATCCTAGCAGTGAAAGTCATGGGCGCAGCTCCCCACCGGCAAGACTGGTAGCCTCGAAAGTGTACGTGATCTTCTGGAACACCCTGCGTGAGTAGAATATAGTCTTCATGTTAAGGTGCACATGTCTGGTGAAGGCCTAATTAAAGTGGTATCACTCCTAGCTGCAGCAGCAGCCACAGTGACACTCATCGGCTAGAACGTCATTACCAACTCAGACATGTCCGAAGGCATCCTCATCATCAGCAGCCATTACCATCACTAGATCATCATCATCATCATCATCATCATCACTGCCAATATCACCATATGCACCATGCAGGTTCAACGGGTCTCAAGATCCAGACCATGATCGGCTATTACTGTCACCGTTCCCCCGGTGGGGCTTGTCTTCATGCTTTTCATGATCTGATGATGTTCGTCGCCGTCATCATGGGCTTATACATGCGATCCTCATCATCATACCAACCGTCATGTTCGCTGTCATGGTGCTCGCAATCGCATTTCTAGTGGTCGTGGTCGTCCGTTTTTCCTCGTTTCCGACTTCATTATCTCCTAGTCCATCGCCATCGTCATCATCATCATCGCCTCAGATTTTCGTCGGCCTCATCATAGGTCACAGGCAATGTCGATTACTATGAGGACCGAATACTTCGTTCGAGCTTCTCATATTGAGCGACCGCAGTTCTTATATGCCAGAGCTTGTGGGGATGAGCATCGTGTCGCACAGGAGTTTACGATGATGACATAGGGTGCAACACCATGCGCACACTTTCCTTTTCTCGTGCCGGGGTCTGGGAACACGCTACAGAGGCTCGGGATGCAAAGGGCTGGCAAGCCTGGAGATGCGCTGAGCAGCGGGATTTCATCGCCGTGCCGCGTGGCCATCATAGTAGTAGTAGTAGTCGTCGTCGTCGTGGTAGTTGTAGTGATAGTGGTAGTAGTAGCAGTGGTAGTCTTAACAGTGGCGGTGGTAGTAGTGGTAGTAGTGGTAGTAGTAGTGGTAGTAGTAGTAGTAGTAGTAGTAGTAGTAGTAGTAGTGGTAGTAGTAGTCGTATGGTCGTGGTCGTGGCAGTGGCACTGGCAGTGGCAGTGGCAGTGGCAGTGGCAGTGGCAGTGGCAGTGGTAGTGGTAGTCGTGGTCGTGGTGGTAATGGTAGTGGACCATCGAATAGGACTGCAACCGCTACTAGTACGACTAGTAGCACCTTACTTACTATTATCAAATTGACGACTGCCGACGACGACTTGGAGTACGGATGCTGCTGCTAGTTGTACCACTACTAAAGGTGTATGGCTTCTCCTCGTACTCCATCCACTGGTGCACCAAGAGACTATTGTCACTAACTCTCTGCCGCGATCTTTAGACATTCACATGTACTTCATGCAGATGGTATCGTGCTGGCGTCGTGCTTCCCGCTTCTATCATCATAGTGTCTGTCTTTACTGCTACAGGGCTATGCCGAACTACTAGAATGTACACAGCACGCCCACTATGGCTCTGTTAGTACGATGCATGTAGCAACTAGCGGCTGGATTTTGCACTTGTTGTTACAGTTATTATCCAAGGTTGGTTCCTAGTTTCAATATTTTCAATGGCGAGCTAGGTTGTAGTATCATTGTCCTTCTATCATCTCGGTCATGACTGTCACATTATGATGTTCGTCATCCTGAGCCTGGCTTTGTAGTTCCTGGCATGTTGAAACGGTGGAATCTGATGTGGGGCCAGGAAGGGTGGTTAAGATGCTCACCCTCCTCGTCTGCAGGGCATCGAGCATTTTTGCCCTTCGAAGGTCGCACTACCTCCTTGCGAAGAAGCATCGCAAGTTCCTGTGAGAGCTCTTTTGCCGTCACCCCATCATTTCCGCAGCCTGGAGATGGAAAGTGAGGTTAGGTAACGCAGGCATTGTGAATGGCTGGGTGTGTGGCTGAAAAATTTCGGCTGCTGGCAGATGGGGTGTAGGGTCTAAGCCGCATTCGGCTTAGCCCTGAGAGTGTCTACCGCTCTGGGGATTTGGGGGCAAGGTCTGCCGGTCGCAGCAGAGATTGTCCTGTGGCATTCTACTGCCACACTGACTGAGGAATGAAAAAATGCAAGACCACAGAAAGACAGGCACAAAGCTTGCCTGGCTCTGTGGGAATTGAGGTTGTACCGCCTCCCGTTCCGACGCTGACAAACGGAGCCGACAGCGTTTGTATGCGCTTATATGGTCTATCAGTGTAGACCCAACAGTGACAGACGACGCTCTGCGCTACACGCCCCGATGATACGGGAACCAGAACGACCACAAGGACCACGACCACCAAGACCACCATCACCAGGCCACGACCGCCAGGAACCAGAATCAAAGCCACCACCAGGGTAGTATGAAGCAGGAGGCAGGACCGACGGCGCCACCCTCAAAAGGAGCAGGAGTCCACACGGACGCGCCCGAGAAGCCACTTCGAGCGTTTGGAAAGCGTTCCGATTTCCCAATAACAGCAAGAATCATGGAATAGTAAGGCAAGAATAATAACAAAAAATAATGGTAAATCGAAAAACTGTAACACTTCGTTCTAATGAAACAGTTCAATTCCAATAGCAATGCCATTACGAATACGATTACTCTTGTTAATGCTAATGCAAATGCTAATACCAACACAAATACTTACACTATAGTACTTATACTCAGTTACTAGTACTAGTACTAATACCAATACCAATACTAGTACTACTGCTGATACCAATACGAATACTGATACTGATACTCTAACAGCAATATGTCACTACTAATGCAGCACTAACACGGGTACTGAGATTAATTCTTTCCCAATACTATACTAATGTTCATAATACTAACACTAATAAGCAGACTCATACTAATATTAACGCTAATACCAATGCAAATACTATATTACTGCAAATTAACAGTCATCATGGCAACAGAATACGACTAAGAGTCCATAACGTGCGCGGCATGCAACGCAGAGGGAGCCTCCTAAAATGAAGAACCACGCAGTGTTGTCATACTGTTTGAGATCACCCATGTTACATGTATGTGTATACATATGCATTTGATTACGCAGGTCTTTCTTCCTGTCTGCCTGCCTGTCTGCCTGTCTGTCTGTCTTCACAACTGTATGTGTCTTCGTTTATAAAGACGTGCATTAGAGGTTAACCAAACCACCCGGTTGTCAAGGCACGATCTGGCTATGTAATGTATCTTGACATACACGCATATGCATATATGGATGTATATATATATATATATATATATATATATTATGCACATGTATGTACGTATTTTGACCTATCCATGCCATGAAAGTATATGGACAGATGCGCACACACACAACTTGTCTCTCTATAGCGTAGCTATAGATATAGAAGGATATAGATACAGGCATCGACATGTAGACATATATTTCACCCACCCAATTCGCTGATGCACAGAACTGCTCGCAAGGAGTTCGCGGAGATCATGCCGGCTGAGGTCCTCGCAGATCCCAAGCGTGGGAACCTTACGAGGATTTTCGGGCTCGGGCTTTGAACTTTGCACTGCCAAAGTTGTCGTCACTGTTTTTTTTGTTTGTGATATTTCCTTTTACTGGGAAGGATGGGAAGCCGCTTAAATCCAAAGCATCAGACGTGAAGCCCAAGATCCCAAACCCCTGACTCCGAAAAGCCTTGGCCTTTCAATGTGGGCGAGTTATAAGCCTATCTGAGCTTTTCCGAGGATGGGTGGACCAACTCGAGATCTCGCAGGAGGACGAGGGCTATGAGTTTGGAAGCAGGTTTGATGGCGTTGTGACTTTCGACACCGATTTTGTAGAAGCAGTAGCGGCAGCGGTAGCAGCAGCAGTAGCAGTGGCAGGAGCAGGAGCAGGAGCAGGAGCAGCAGCAGGAGTAGGAGTAGGAGTAGGAGTAGGAGTAGGAGTAGGAGTAGTGGTAGTAGTAGTAGTAGTAGTAGTAGTAGGAGTAGTAGTAGTAGTAGTAGTAGTAGTAGCAGTAGTAGTAGTAGTAGTGGTAGTAGTAGTAGTAGTAGTAAGCACTAGTAGTAGTAGTAGTAGTAGTAGTAGTAGTAGTAGTAGTAGTAGTAGTAGTAGTAGCAGTAGTAGTAGTAGTAGTAGGAGTAGTATGCATCAGGAATAGGGCAGGTCGAGTAGGGCTGCGGAGCGGTAGTTAGCTTTAGCAGTGGAAGAGCAGTGCTGCTCCCTAAGGCTCTAAGGACTCATATATTAAGGCTGTTGGGCCCAAAGACCATACCATATAAGGCTTTTGGGCCATTTTGAGCCTTAGGGGCTGGAAGCCGGAGTAGCTTTTGTTGGTCTTGTTGGGGCTGCTGCTTTGGTTGCTCACGACGTGGTGATGTGGAAAGATTTCGTCATGCGAACCTATGCTCCTTGTACTTCCTTGTTTTCCCACTCTTCTGTATTTGGCCACGACTCGGATCACATGAACGCATAAAGGTCCCGAACTCTCCGTGCACAAACCATGAACACCGAACGCCCAAGCAAAGACTGCAGATGCACTTGACGTGAGCCCAGGATTCGGGGCCGGGCGTATGGTAAACTGGGCTTTGAGGGCTGGACTTGTAGAGTCTTGGGTATACTTCGGGTATATATATATATATACACATGTGTATGTATTTACACATATATTCATGTATGTGTAATTATACATAATCTGTGTGTGTATATATATATATATACATGTATATATTTATATAGATATATCGATATAGTCATTGAGGCAATAACGTCTTGGTGGTATAGACCAGCACCGGGGATGCGGGAGGTTGCTATTCGAGGCATGATGCCAAAGCCGTGCTCAGCGTAAAGACAGTCACAAGCATAGCCCCAACTCAAATTCCAAGTCCCAAACAAACATAGCCCAAACCCTACAGTTACAATCCCCAAACACAGGGAACCAATCCTGAACCATGAATTTCTGTAAATCTCCAACCAAAAAGATTTATCAACCCACAACTCGAAGCAGCCTGCACGCCCAGAGCCCCAAGCCATACGCCTCAGAAACTGCAGATGCGCTACCTTTAGGGTTAGGGTTCCCGAATGCCCTAAACTCCAAACCTGTAGCCCTACGCCTAAACCCTAAACCAACGAGCTCAAATGCCCTAAAGCCCTAAACCCGAACAATCCCGAACTGCAGCCTCTGGGAAGAAGGAGCTCAACCAAACAAGACCTTTCAGACCCTCGAGCCCCTAAACCCCTAAACCTCTAACATTTCACACCCTGAAACCCCTGACTCGAGGAGCCCCCTGAGACAATGGCAGCTCTGGAGCGTGCGCTGCGAGGGAGGTGCTGGGGCTGCGCTCGAAGGAAGGGTGTAGAGGGTTTAGGGGTTTAGGGTTTAGAGGAGGGTTGGGAGGGTTTAGAGGAGGGTTGGGAGGGTTTAGAGGAGGGTTGGGAGGGTTTAGAGGAGGGTTGGGAGGGTTTAGAGGAGGGTTGGGAGGGCTTAGAGGGTTTGGGTTTTACATTTGTCGACTTTGTGGGGTCCTGGGCTGAGGGCTCAGAGGAGTTGCAGGATTCGGGTTTAGAGTGTGTGAACGCTTCCTGCATGTTTTCAACCTCAAAACTGGAGTCATGCCAACCACTGTGATTAGGCCCTTGTCTACATGCTGCCCCTCCTGTTCATTAGGATCTCCAGGCTCCTTTGGCAGTACATGTTACCCATAGCCCCCAAAGTAGTTCTTTTTTCGGGGTTCATATATAGAATATTATAAGGTAATCCCAAACAGGAACTACTTTGGGGCCTCTGGGTAAAGACAAACCCTGAGCAAGTGTTTATCGCTTTGGTTCCGGTGAGTTGCTCTGTCCACCGCAGAGGGCTTGGAGGGTGGCCTTCAGGGCGTTCTCGAATTCCGCCTCTGAGCAGAAACGCCAGACATGCAAGGAACCATTCGTTCTATGTGTGCAACTCATTACCTGTATAGTCTCCATTGTAGTCCTTTTTTTTAGGATCCTTAAGGGGGGGTGGTTCAAGGGGGGAGGGTACTAGGGAGCTTTGGGGAACCTTAGGGAAGCTTAGGGAGTATTGGGGAATAATGGGGATTACTAGGTTACCTACCCCCCTTGGACCACCCCCCCTTAAGGACATCCTAATTTTTGGGGGTCTTGACGACAGGATCCTAATCGTAAACTTGGTTAAACCAAAAGAAGGATAACTTAGGACGCCTCCCCAGCTTAGCCGTGGCTTCAACTTCCAAAAGAGAACGGTCGTCGAAACGTTCGGTGAGAGCCCACAGGGACCCAAACCACAAACAAGTTCTGTGAACCTAAACCTTAAACCCTAGAAGCCCCAAGCTTAAGCGGGACAGAGGCAAGTCCTGCTGGAGCTGGGCTGCGCCGTAGGTGTGCGAACGTGGTTAGGGTTCCGGGGCGCAGGGTTTGGGGTAAAAGTTTTCGTTGTCGGGTTTTGGGAAACTTCGGGCAGAGCGGGGTCTATATAGGTAGTGCCACTTGCAAGTTGGATGAGGGTTTGGCTTAAGGCTTAAGAGATTTTGAGATTACCTTTAGTACCCTCAAGAGCTTGTCACAATCAATTCCTTTTGTGAAATTTGTCGAAAGTCTCACAAAAGTCTGCAGCATCCAGCCGAAAGCAAAGAGACACTCCCAACACCAGGCCCTCCTTGCAATGCCCAGAGACCTGCACAAAGCATCATCCACGGAACTTCGACTGTGAATGCTATCTCCTTCCCCACATGAAACCGTGTAGATCCTACACTCATCTACACCTTCCCTCCTCAAGGCTACTTGGAGGGGCAGGACTTAGTAAGTAGGTTACAAGTAGGGTTATAATTGGGGTAAGTCCATTTAGGGTACTTATAACTCTACTTATAACCTACTTACTAAGTCCCCTGCCCTTCCAAGTAGAGAATCCCGAATCTGATGGGACTGAGAGGTAATGGCCTCATTCCGATGCTCCGCGCCAACCCGGAGCCCTACTTGGGGTGCTTCGGTGTGGGATTACCGGGTTCGTGCTGAATCATTTCTTGGGCCACATCGCTGTTGATGGTATAAATCCTGCATTACCCATTCTAAAGAATATACCATATTTCCCATAGTTTAGGGTCCATAAGGTCATGCAGGATTTCTATCATCAGCCGATCTCTCGGGATAAGAAAACTCGCCGTGGCAGGGAACCTCTACTCTTTTCATGCAGGTCCCTGTATCTTAGGCGTACTTTTGAAATAATTTTTACTTTTTGGTTTAAGAAACAGCTAAAACTATACTTTTTGCTAGGGTTCTAAGTTCAGTATAGGTATGATGTTAGCATGCAGGGCGTCGTGCTCCAGCAAATGCAAAGACTCCTTGAAATCCTGCCTTCTCCTGTATTTCATGGACTCTGGAGTTTGAATTCTTGTCACCATCATGTCCCGTGTGGTGTAAACGTAAACCCTAAGCCCTAAACCCATACTCCCCCTAATCCCACCTATTGCAGGAACCCATAAATCGGTACCCCTGTTTCTCAGAAACCCCTCATTTCTTCTGGCACGAATCCTAAACCCTAAACCCCCAAACCCTAAAACCCCAAACCCTAACTGCACCTGGCGCGATGGAGAGGACCTCTTCGGCATCGGCTGCGATCTTTCTGCCGAAGCAGTAGCGCTGCTGCAGGGGAAGGACCACGGCTTCCCGACCGCCGAGCTCTTTGCTGTAGGGTCTAGGGTGTAGGGTGTTAGATTTTCGGGTTCAGAGTGTAAGGTGTTAGATTTTGGGGTTCAGGGTGTAGGGTGTTAGTTTTTAGGGTTTAAGGGTTTTAGTTTTTAGGGTTCAGGGTTTAGGGTGTTAGTTTTCAGGGTGCAGGGTTGTAGGGTTCTAAGGTTTAGGGCTTAGGGTTGTAGGATCCAGACCCTACATGTTAAACATGTTCGGCTCAGAGTCCCAGGTGGCATCTTTCGCATTTGCTGAGGCTGCACTCCGTGGTTTAGGGTTCGTCTCGGTATGCAAGCTCCAGCAACGCGCTTTGATCTGTGCAAATGCTTTCCAGATCCACAGTCACGGAGTGTATAAAAAAAATCCTTGCAAAGCTAGGCTGAGCCCATGATGCTCATTGCCTGCCTAGCTTGTGCCCTGCGACTCTGTGCAGACACCTAGGTGGCAATTTGGGAAACTTGTTAGTTTCCCTTATGGTTCCTATGGAGGTACCTATTCATAAATACTTTTCAGAGCTCCAAAACTACGACCCAGACATGTCCGTTTAAACCAGGAGGAATACCGCTGTGGGCGATGCCTTGCTTTTCCGAGCGCACGGGCCTCAGTTGGGTAGTCCAGTCTCTCGGAGCGATTTCCAGGTTTCCGCAGCAACTCCAGCAACCACAACAACAGCCAACAGCCAACACAGGCACGAAATCGGGAAGCCACAACAACAACAACTACTACTACTACTACTACTACTTCTACCATTACCACTACCACTACCACTACCACTACCACTACCACTACCACTACCACTACCACTACCACTACCACTACCACTACCACCACTACTTCCACTACCACTACCACTACTACTACTACTACTACTACTACTACTACTACTACTACTACTACTACTACTACTACTACTCCTGCTACTACTACTACTACTACTCCTCCTCCTACTACTACTACTACTACTACTACTACTACTACTACTACTACTAGTATTACTACGACTACTACTACTACTACTACTACTACTACTACTACTACTACTGCTGCTACTTCTACTACTTCTACCACTACCACTGCCACCTACTACTACCTACTACTTCTACTACTTATACCATTGCCACCTACTACTACCTACTACTGCTGCTACTACTACTACTACTACTACTACTACTGCTGCTGCTGCTGCCGCCATTACTACCATAGCTCCGTCAGACCCGTTCGTTGTAAACTGCAGTGCCAGGACATTACCAAAGGCTCTGGGTACCAGCCAACTACGTGCCACAGGAGCCTAGAGGCCTGCCAAGTCTTTGCACTACAAGTTGTGCCTTAGGGTTGCTTTGAGGTCATGACGGTCAAGGAGATTTGATGTGTTGCACTTCGAGTCCGGCTTCGGACGGTTCCATTCGAGGTGTTCGGTCAGGTGGTCAGTCGTTTAAGTTTCGGAAGCTGTTTCGTTCGAAGGATTTCCAGAGGCTGTTGGTTCCATGTTGGTATGCATACATACACATACATACATACTCATGCACATGCACATGCACATGCACAGATGTGTATGACTAAGAAGACAGACTAGGTATGTGTGTTTGTGCATATACGCATACATGCACGCACTATAACTATGCGTTTGTGTGTATGAATATGTGCACACACACACACACATGTATGGTACTATTCTTGTTCTAAGTGTGTATAATAATATACACAAACAAGCAGATGCATGCATATACAAACATATACATACGTACATACATGTACATATATATATATATATATACATATATATATATATACACACGCACATACGCACGTACGTAGGAACATACATACATATACACACACACAGAGAGCGGTCTATACAGGTGTCCATGCTTTTGAGTGCTGGTGCGTTTGTGGTTCCCGTTCCTCGTCTCCGTTTTGCCCTGTGGCCCCTTCGCATGAACGTTTGGCAAGCACCCTCACGAACGTAGATTGCGTCTTGTTGTTGAATTGCGGCGTTTGCACACGCGGTATGTTTGTGAAAGACATGCCCGATTGTGGTTTTGACATGTTGTGGTCAGCGGAAGAGCCTGTCTTCAGCCTGTCACTTCATCTTACCTTGTCGAAACCTGCATGTGGACGTTCTGCATCCGCCACTGGCAGTGTTTGCATATTTGACGAAATATTAAGCAACAAACCGCTGAGTTCGGGCGGTGTTTGCTAACAGACATGTGAGCTTACTTATTCTACATGACGTCCTTCTTCTGATGCTTTGTCATTCTGCAGGTGCTGGATGTGTACCACCGGGAAATCTGGGAGTACTTGGTTCCCCAAACGCTGGAATTCTGGGAGTTTTGGGGCTCCAAAGATTTAATTTGGGCAAAACGGAATATGTAACCGAACTTCTTCAACTCTGCAAGTTGCGTTTTTCGCTGTTGGGTGATGCTGTGCTCTGATATTGATTCACCCATCGTGTCGACGGCACGCGCCCGGACATCAAGACATATCAAGACATGCAAGCACTTATCTATCACCGAGCGTTCCTGCAAAAGGTAAGTCATCCCAGTCTCATGATGAAGATGTTGCAGAGGAGCCATTGGACAAAGACGGGATGACCCCATGAGCAGTCGCAACACATTCAACCGTAAGCCAGGAAGCTCTTCCAGCAGACTCCGTCGACTTCGCCACGCTCCTTTTCGTGCTCAGTCATCCATGCATTGAGTTAGTGGGGATGCCTTTCGGACTGGCTTTAATGCGTCCAACCAAAAATACCATACTTCTAAAGGCATGAAAACTTTGCGTCTGTTTAGAATGGGTGGTCTTTACCTTGTCCCGCACCGTCTCTGCTAGACTGTATCTTTGGAATAACAACAGTGAAGCTACCACATCAAGCTCGCAAGCTTGGTTGCCCATATTCTCGTCCGTTTTTGTCCTGGGTATTGTCATGTTGGCTATGCAACCTCATTCTCCGTGAACCGATCTTTTTACACATCATTCCATTCCGGGTAAAGAATTTCTGATGAAGCACATCCCCTCATCTCCACCCATCATCAGCTTGGTTTTCATAGTGCTCATCATCACTGCTGATTGTCATCATGCTTCGGTACCAATCTGCGTCATCGTCAGCATCACCACGTTCATCACCAGTCGTAGAGCTCACGTTCTTGATCATGCCTGTGATTTCACCATGACACTCATAATCATCACCAGCGGAATCATTATCAGCAGCATCGTCATCTCAAAGTTATAAGCTTCGAACGTTTGTCTTAGTTAACATGGTCGAGTTCGCAATATGACAGTCAATAGCACGAACAGAGAAGTGCAGTGATCTCAAGCAAATTCCATCATCAGCCAGAGCTTAGCATGCCCAATAAGTTTTAAGGGTTTCGGGGGCCACAGGTAGGTTGGCTGCAACAAGCTAGTAGTGAATTAGCCAAAGAATGTGGCAACTCTGCAGTTTGATCCGCACTTCGAGCAGGGAGCTGTGCCTTTGCAATGTCCTGTCTACCCCCGACTTATCCGTGATGCTGCTGCACCGCGTCGGTTCCAACTTATTTTGGTGACAGTTCGTTCCACAGACATAATGTAATATTATTAGCAGTAGGCTTCGCAACAGCCTATCAGAAACAACGGTGTGCAAACTACATTCGCATTACTTTAGATGGCTGGATAACGAGTTCTCCACCGGGAGGCGGCATAGGAGCTTTGTCTCATTATAATTATGCAGCCTCTAGCCGGAACACCGCAACTTCTGCTGCAACTTTAGACAGAGTCACCAAGCCTTTCGAAAGCTGAGTTCCGAATCGACGGTATTTCCGGGTTCTAATTTCTCGCAGTCGCCACGCTTGGCTTAGCAGCTGACCCCTCTTGACATCCACAGTATGAGCGATTAATGTAACTTGGATCTTCACGTCTGGCCTTAACGTTACCGGGCATCAGGCAGGGCTTACTGTACATGGGCCGCATCTGCAAACAACAGCACCGTTATTATTGGTGCTACTGGTACATGCAAACACGAGTACAAGTGCTCTATCACTAGGTCACGAACACATGTGAGACGGCTAAACCGTTTCTTCACCACCAGCCGACAGCATCCCTGCCTCACTTCCGCAGCTTCCTGTGCCATGGCTGATGCTGCAAAAGTGCGGTATTTGGCTGAGGCTCAAGCGGAGATGGGGACAGAAGCAGGGTTAGGATGACGGTTTGAAGTGTTCAGAGCATGAGAAGAAATGGGGAACGCATGGGAATAGTGCACCTTTTTGTGGCCGTTTCTGTCTGTCTGTCTGTCTGCTCCGTCGAGGCTAAGCCCAGATTCGTTTACGTAAAGCGGAAGCTGGCACTTCTGTTCATCTGGCCATGATACCAGCTCATGCGAAACAACTGCTTACACAAATGATCTTCAGGAGTCGTATCGGGTCGTATCCCAAGTCGTTCGGTGTTGCGTTTTGGGCTTCGTTGGAGTTGGTGACATCGCGTCGTCGTCGTTCTTGGTGTTGACTTTGGTCTTGGTGGTGGTGTTGGTGATACTGTTGGTGTTGGTGTGGTGTTGGGGCAGTGGCGGTGGCAGTGGCGGTGGTGGTGGTGGTGGTGGTGGTAATCCTAAATCCCGCATAGCCCGACCTAGATTCTAGATCTACAGTTGTCCATCGTTCTAGGGTCGAAGGGTGTTTGAGGAGATTTCGAGGATTGACTGGGCCTCCTTTCAGGAACTCTACGGGTTCTGTACCGCTTCGGTCATATGCTGTGCCCTTGAAGAGTACTAGAAGGGTTCCATTAAGGGTCCTACACGAGTTCTTTCCCAAAGGATCCAAGTATCATTCTGGTATATACTTATAGGGCATTTTGGGGGTCTAAGTTTATACCATGATGATACTTGGACCCTTTGGGCTTGAAGTGAAGGATACCATAGGGACTCTTTTAAATTGGGGGAATCAATGAGATCAATGCGGGCTCTGCATGACATTCTCGGTCGTGGATTCGCTTACCACAGAGATACCGCAACAAATGCTCGAAAACCCTACACCCTAAACCATGTTGTTCCGAAGAAGCGGACCTTCTCCCGAATTCATCTTGTTCTGCACACAAGATGATATTGGAACAAATCCGTCCGTGGCATGCTGTGGCGTCGTCTAATCGAATAGCGGACTACGAATGGCAAGAAGACAGAACAGCACCACCACCACCACCACCACCACCACCACCACCACCACCACCACCACCACCACCACCACCACCACCACCACCACCACCACCACCACCACCACCACCACCACCACCACCACCACCACCACCACCACCACCACCACCACCACCACCACCATCACCATCACCAGCAGCACAACCACCAACAACAACAACAACATCAACAACAAGAGCAACAAGAACAAAGGCGGCAACAACAACAACAACAACCACAACCACAACCACAACCACAACCACAACCCCAACCCCAACCGCAACCGCAACCGCAACCACAACCAAACAACAACCACAACAACGACAACGACAACACTAACCACCATCACCACCACCACCACCACCACCATGACGGCAAGATGCTCTGGCTCGGCCATGACTGCCTCCGGATTTCAGGGTGAATTCAGGCCTCTTGGCCCAGGTTCGGTTCATGAAGCTTGGACGCCTTAATGCCAAGCCGCTATTCTCGGAGCAACCACAACCCTGCGCCACATGTCGTTATGCTCAAGAGGCCTGCAATGTGGACGTCAATGCATCCGCCGCAGCTCTGCGCGAGAGTGGAGGTCACTGAGCGGTTCAAACGGGTAGACAGCAGTTCGAGAAGGATTCTGTTCCCCGTTCACACAAATCCGTATACTAGCTTTCACGGGGGCTTGCAAGATGGGAGGGGTTGCGGAGAGATCAAGTGGGCGCAGGGCCCGCACTATATCACGCCATCCCGGCCCAGTTTCGACCCATTGACACCGAAATTGCCAGCAACCGTGACACTACCAACAAGACCGGTAGACACAATGTTGCCTCAGCCTTAGCTTAACCCCAAATACCGCACCATCTTCGGAAGCTGTATAAGGAAACCCTATTAAGGGCCCTGAAAAGGTAGGTTTCTTGGGGTCTAGGAAACCCTAAACCCTAAAACTCTAAACGCCTGAACCCTAAACCCCAAAGCCCTAAACCCTAAACCGTCAAACCCGAATCCCTATAGCCATCTTTGATAGGCGATGTTGATGTGGCAGCCGCTGTGCTGCTCAGTGCAGCTGAAGCTCAAACAGCTCAAGTCAAGCAGCTGCATTGTAGGGTTTTGGGTTGGGGCTTTGGGTTTTGAGGTTGAGGGCTTAGTATTGAGGGTGAAGTCGTTGCAATTCGGGGCTGCAGGGCGGTGCCACAATTCCTGGTACAGTCATTGCTGTTCATTAGTCTGGATTTTCTAGTTACTGGCCTTTGAGAACTTTAATCATATTGAGGAGCGGGTTCAGCACTCGGTTTTCCATTTCCGGCAGGTAGGGATGCAGTGGCTGAAGCATGCCATTTGCAGTGCAATCGGTCGGAAAGTTATGTCGGTGCAGTGCTGCAGCGATTTCTGTAGATTCAAACTAGAGGCTGATATGTTCAAACCTTATAGTATGAAGCTTCCCCAAGCCCGACGGTATTGTCGTAATCACCCTGACAAGTTTGCTCAACTCGTGCAAACATCTGGGAGTTTCCGATAATAGGGAACCCTAATATAGTACCCGAAATAGTGGGATCCTTACTATAAGGACCCCCAAAAAGGCACCCCTAATTTTCGGAAGCCCTAAACCCTTCTAGAGCCCTTTAAAGGAACCCTTTAAAGAAAGGAACCCTGAAGGTACCCCTAATCTTCTGAAACTACCCATCTTGAGGCCACCGTTGCTACCTCGCCGGCTTCAACACCACTGGGAGTGCTTCTGGAAATGGGCATCTTGGTCTGCTTCCCTTTACAGGGATCTATAGGGTTCCTTTAAAGGGATCTATAGGGGTCTAGGGTTCCTTTAAAGGGATCTTTACCCTTGATCTGCTTTACTTACCTTTCGTTAGTAGGGAATGGAAGAATGGTAGTAATAGTAGTTCTGATGGTACCCCATTCCTCCATTCCCTACTAACCGAAGGTAAGTTTGGGCTCTCGGGTTTAGGCTTTAGGGCTTTGGGGTTTAGGGCTTTAGGGTTTGAGGTTTTCGGGCTGTAGGGTTGCAGGGTTTAGGGGGTTTCGGGGCTTTAAGTTTGGGGTTTAAGATTTAGATCAGTTTTACTTTGAATCAGCCGAAACAGCCAACACTTCCTTGAGTCAGCACTGCTCCTGTATACCATTATTGAACGGTCGGAATATGTCGGAATCACGATCATTCTGTATACACATAGTACCGCTGAAAGGTCATACAAAAACATAGCCCGAGACTGGCCCAAAAGCTTCTTCCAATTCCGACGGGTCCAAGTGCTGAACCCGGGATTCCTCCAAAGCCCAACGGCGCAAGGGTCACACATGCACTCCTGAGGGTACGAAGCTGGCACTGCGGCCACGGCACTGCGACGGTCGGATGGCAACCTAGAGGCTCGAAGATGTCTGGTTCATGTATGTATGTATGTACGTATTCTTATGATGTCATGTGCCGTCATGTCATGTCATGCCCTGCCATGCCATGTCATGTCATGTATGTATGTATGGTTTTGTATGTTGTCATCCTTGGCGGTGGTTGGTTCGGTGCGTCGGCAACGGGTTTACCATGCGCCGTCCAAGACAGTTTGAGCAAGGGGCCTCCACGAAGCCACTAAAAAATATACTTGACATAATAAAACTAGCAAGAACTGTTTAATTCATTGCTAATATACTAGTGAGAACAGGACCAGAAGAACTTTCGGAACTTCTCTCTGCACCGTCCTCTCCAGACGCACCCTAAACCCTGTACCTTAAATCCTAAACCCCTTCTCAGCCCACGGCCCTGCATGGCATACGGTTTAGGGGCTTAGGTTCAGTGGTATAGGGTTTAGGGTTCAGGTTTAGTTTCGGGTTCATGGGTTCGGATTTCCGGACGCATCTTCTGCTGCTCCGTCATTCCAACTTATCTCCTCGCCCCCCAACTACGACTCGGCAAGCGACATTTGTCATCTATGGGAGTTTCCGAAAATAGGGGTCCCTAATCTAGCACCCTAAATAGTAGGATCCTTATTATAAGGACCCCAAAGTAAGGTACCCCTAATTTTCGGAAACTCCCATATGGGCAGTTTCAGGCAGATGGACACCCTTTCGATTTGTTGCGGTGTGCTTCCCTCGGACGAGGACTGTCTAGGCTAAGCCCTACCACCACTGTGAACTACTGCGTACTTCTCTAAAATAGGGCCTCTTGCTGTGTCCCCCACAAAGTACGGCACCGTCGGCACCCTTATGAACAGGGACCTTAAAGCGACCCTGATTTAGAGAGCTACCCATAGCAGCCCGAAAAGCCCAAGCAGACTCCTGCAGGGAGCCTTGCAGCTGCTGCTGGAGGCTGTGCTGGGATGTCCTCCACTCCTTACTAGATCCTCCTACTCACGAGCCCCAACTAGGGATTAGGGTTTTACAGTTTTATTAGGGTTTAGGGTTTTAGGGTTTACTTCAACCCCGAATAACCTACTTTTCTTTTAGGACTGATATAAAGAAATCAGATTAGGGAACCCTAAAAAAGGTAGGTTCCTTAGGGTCCTACCGCTACGACAACTCCCTGTCAGGCGCCGTCGCCACGCCGCGCACAGCAGCCACCTGCAAGCCTTTAGGGTTTAGGGTTTAGGGTTTCCGATCAACTTGTCTGAGCGAGGTGTGGGAGTTCTCGAAAATTAGGGGAACCTTATTTAGGGTCCTTATACTAGGGATCCATCTATTTTGGGTGCTATATTACGGTTCCCGATTTTGTCTGAGCAAGGTCCGGAGTGTCACTCTTCGAGCTCCCAGAGCCGTAAGCCCTGCACTCAAGACTCAAGCCCTAAACAACCCACGAAACCCTGAACCTTTGATCCTGATAAGTAGAAATGCCTTCAACGGAACGAGGATGCTTGTTGCTTGTCGGTCGGCAATGTCGACTTCCATCTTTCTGTTCCTGCACCTCGTGACCCCCTTGCCTGTGATATTTCTCCTGAAAGTGCGGTATTGGTTATACAAGTTATCAAGAGCCGGATGGTGGTTTCAGGCAGTATTCCAGACGTGTGGCTTTGCATGGCTTTGCTACAGGGGTCCTGTAGCATCGTCGCAGGAGTCAGACAGACTGCTATACATCCCAGGAGTTGGTGGCTTTTATTCATTGTTCCTTCCAGTATGCATGTATGTATGTAGGTAAGTAGGTAGGTAGGTAGTTACGGAGGCATCCATGTTCATTCTGGTTGTGAGAGGATTAATCCCGGCATCAGCTCAGGCCAGCGCCACAACAGAACAACGAATATGGCACCTGCGCAATCTGCTGCTCGTCGGAATCGTGAAATGCCGCTACTTGTACTAAGTCTTTTACAGTAGGAAGTAGTAGCAGCAACGCTTCTATGAACCCTTGCAATTAGTAGGATCCTTGTACTGCCTCTTCTAGAAGCCCTGGAACTCTATGATTTGGCACCTGAAGGGGGACCCGATCCAACAGTCTCTTCTCAAGATCCTGATATTCCCGAATCGTCGAACTCGCATGAGCAGCCTGCAAACCGACACATTACGGAGTTGTGGGTTTGGTTCTGGGATGTAAACCTTATGTGCATAGCTCCTTGACTGGAAGCACGTAAGCCCTCAAGCTGACATCCCGAAATGAACCGGCCCAAAAACACCAGACATATTGTCTGGTATTTTCTTCTGCTGTATCGGAAACCGGCTGCCAACAAGACGTTTGTTGAGAATGTGCTGTTTAGTTCTGCAGCCGGTGGTGACGACTGCGATGCTTCTGTGTTTAAGTTTAGTCTTCCTTGTAGAGAGATACTCGGAAGTCGAACGACCGGGTTCGTAAGTCAGAAGCCTCAACAGCTAGCAGATTTAACAGGCTCTTCCTTTCAGGGGCTGTATAGGTATGCTGCAGTGTACTGCGGTTCCGAACATCTCCTTCTAATTCTGGAAACTGCAAGCCCCTGTTGCTTCTGCGAGGAGTCGGGGAGTGCAGCAGCGTTTAGGGATATCCTTACACGTTGCGGTCGACCATGCCTTTACATTGGACATGATATTCGTCTTTTCTTGGAGTCTCCGGAGCCTCTGAAATCACATGCCCGGTCGTGACCAAGTCCGCTATACTATACTTCCCTGAGTCATACTGGTAGCATGCCCGGAGAACTTTTTGCACATTTTAGATATCCCTTGGGTACGGCCCCCACTCAGTAATAGTTGAATAGTATTCTTAATACAGATATATTAGGACCCTAATAACAGCCCTATTATAGACTCTTACTGTATGGGGGCAGTACCTAAGATATCCCTGCGTTGCTAGACTCAACGTGTCTACGCGCTCAGGGCCACCAGCCCTGAGCAGCTTCGAAGTAAGGCCCCATTGAACGATAGTGTAACATAGATCATATGGGTAGTTGTCAAAATTAGGGTCCCTGTTTGGGTACCCTGAATATTAGGTGCCGTATTATAATAGGGACCCCAAAAGGGACCCGAATATTGACAACCACACAAATGAGGCTAGTATCCATATTATGGACTGTTATTGTTGTTATTGTATGATGGCAACAACCCAGATCATCTAAACCCTAGATCCTAAACCCTAAATCCTGAATCCTAAACCTTTAAACCCTAAATCCTAAACCCTAAGCCGTCTCAGTTAGAGGTTCAGAGTTCGGAGGAGCCACGGGGACCCGAAGCTCCCACAGTTGAGCCCCTCAGCTCCTGGATCTCAAGGTTCTCCCTAAACCCAAAGCCTTAAAACCTTCAAAGGGCTTAATAAACACCACTACACCTCGAATCCTACAGGGTTATAGATTGAACTCTGAAGCCCGACCTCTGGCGTTTTTGGGCCACGAGGTACAGAGCCGATCCAGCCACGAGAGGTACCACTGTGGGCCTGTAGGGTCTTACTGCAGTAGGACTGAGTAAATGGTAAGAACCCCTATGAGGTACGCCTAGTGATGGTTTGGGGCTCATGGCTTAAAGGATTCGCGTTGCAAGATGTAGGAGTTTCCAAGAAGTAAGGCCCGCCAATGTACAGTCGCCGACCGTATTAGAAGGGTCCCAAAACAAGGCACCCTTACCCAAAGGGTCCTATGTATCGATATAGCAGAATGTAGGGTTTCCATATTAGGAATTACTATTATGATTGAGGGAAGTATCCCCCACAACAGTACAAAGGACCCTTGGGGTTAAGTTTAACACAACCCCCATCTCGGATCGTGTGGTTCGTGTTGAGGACGTCAGCTTCCTGGTCCAAATGTCTTGCAAGTACGAAGTAGTATAGGGGCTTTAGTAACCACAATGGTAGTAGTAATATTAACAAACAAAATACCAATAATAGGTACAACAGCGCTTTGGGCTAGATCAGGTTGCAAAAAAGGTCGGGAACCGTACAGGAAGATATTCGAAATCCGGAATATCGGGTATAGAAGCGTTGATGTGCGTCACACTTGAAGTTTCAGACAACAAGAAAGTCTCTGTAATTTTGGCCCGGTACTGCTCTGTAGTGCCTGGCACGTGTTTTCCTTGAGGCGGCGATGCGCTGTCGTGGAGATCACGGCGGCAGCGCGGCTGCACTTCGGAGTTCAGGAAGCATGTGGGTGTTTCTCTGAATTGGGGCCCTTTTTTTGTTCTGAACAGGACCCTAAACGGGACCTAGTGTAGGGAATTATCAATGTAAATATTGTAGAACTGTCATGAAACAAATGATAAGGCTTTGGAGGCTTCAGAAGTAGCGATGGGCCTGAACTGCAAACCATGCCCAGCCGTCTTTAATTGTCTTAATGGACCCTGACAAGATGCAGGAACGGTCTGTCGCATGTTGGAGTTTTGTCAGTACTCCTTACTGGGCCGTCTGCTCTAGTGACTCTAGTGTCTTCGTCTTTGTCACAGTTGGGCGGCATTTTACATTTTTAGGAGTGCTTACAGTAAACCCCAGAAGGAATCGACATTTACATAGTTAGTACTATCCCAGCCATGGACAAGTGATAGTTCCAAGCACTGATGCATGTTCGAGGATGGAGTATCTCTGCAGGGTCTTTTGAGCATCACGTCTTAGCCAACACGGCGAGACCTGCGTGACTTCTAGACTCGCTTCTGGGACGGGCCCACGGCCGATGAACAAGACTAGACTGACTAAACCCTCAATCCTATAGCCTATACCCTAAACCCTAAACCTTAAACCCTGAACTGGACCATGAAGAGATCCTCCAAGAAGCACCGTCCTTGAGCAGCTCGTGGGCTTTTCACGGTTTTGTGTGCCCTGCTGGTCATAGTCGCCGTGGCGGCGGTGGTGAGATTGTTGAGACTTGCTTAAGGCCTTCTGCATAGAAGGGTCCTGTAGAAGGAAAGCCCCTCTAAGGATTTCACTACGGCCACGCACGCTGCTTGGGCCAGTGGGTCAGTCACTGCCGCGAGAGGGATCAGGCCCGGCAATGGTTCCCAATCCCAACTAGTGTGAATCCAAGACGAGATCGCCAAAATGTCGGAGTTTTATAAATAATCACCAAGTCCTATAATTACACATTCCGTTGTGCTGACCTCGCAGTCGATTCGCCGGGGTCGAGTGGTTTTCCACTGCTTCGGTCCGAGGATGGCTACCATGTTAACTACTGTGAGAACTTCGCTTTTGGGTGGATTGGTTGGCTCTTGGTGCGCCGGATAGATGCTGCAAGGTGGGAGTGGGTGGACAAGGCTTATGCGGCTTTGGGTCGCTAGTGTTCTTCTGCACGATGACGGAAATCCTCTATACTTCCTGGCTGACCCGGACTTAGCTATACCTGTCCGTTCTATTCTGCATCCATCTAAATAGGAGTCTCGGCAGGACCTTGTTGTTACATGCAAGCAGCGATTCAGGGCCAAAGGCATCATGAAGATCCTGGAAAGACCTCGAACCCGGAGCATGCTGTGAAAGATGCAGCTCCAAGATGCTCCGATGCACAAAACTTCGTTCACCTTTCATGTTTATAGCCAACACGCACGCAAGGCATGACTGAACATATCAAGTTGAGTTATGGCCTTACAGACTAGAGGACCTCGGAACCGGGGACTGAGGTGGGACAGCCAAGTGGTGGCTGTCCTGCGATTGGAGTGGTCCTGGGTTCACCTTAATTATACTTAGTTAACCTACAAGAATTTCACGGCCATACATTAGGAAATTGCAATCAATAGCGCCCTGAAGAGCTTGGCTTCTGAGGGTCCAGGTAGGCTTTAGGGTTGGTCTCATCGAGTTTCATCTCCTTCGATATCCTGCCCCAATCCCTTCGAGACCTGCAGAGAGTTCGGTTTAGGCTTGACCTTCTGTGTTCCATCGTACTTCCTTTTTCTGGCTTAGTCATTCCATGTTTAGGATCCTACAGAGTAGCACAAGAAAGAAACGACAATGGAGGCTGTAGGTAGGCTTCATGAAGGAGCAGAGACCTCTAGGTCTAGAAGGATGCCACCAGACCCCCAGAGCTGAAACCTACAGACCATGAAAGCCCAACAACGGCAACTCTGAAATGTGACGCTCTTAGAAAGCCCTTAAAGCATTCGTCTCTAAATCTTAAACCCCTAAACCCCACACCCCAAATCCCTTACCCCCCCAAGCCCCTAAACCCCTGAACCCCTAAACCCCTGAGCCCAAAAACCTCTAACCCCCTAAACCTCCAAACCCCCGTATTGCAACCCCCGAAAGAAGCCGCGCGTCGTCGAAGCACTTCTTGAGTGCTCCTAAACCATAAACCCTACCTTGACCCAGAATAGTTTGCCTTTTCGAAGACTTATACAAGGAAATCATATTAAGGAACCCTAAAAAGGTAGGTTATTCAGGGTTAAGGTTATAAACCCTAAAAAGTGAAACAGCACTTCTAAAGTGTTCCCAGTCCCGAAACCCTAAACCTGAAAACCCTGAAACCGAAAAGACAGCGCTTCTTATGGGCTCCTAAAACCGAAAAGAAAGCACTTCATAAGTGTTCCTAAACCCTAAACCCTAAACGCCGAACAGAAAGCGCGCACTTCTTAAGCGCTCCTAAACCCTACCTTAACCCTGAATAACCTACCTTTGTTGTGATTTCCTTATACTAAGTCCTTAAAAATGTAAGTTATTCCGGGTTAAGGTAAATCCCTAATCCCTGCCCTAATCCCAAATCCTTAAACCCTAAACCCTGAAACACCGACAAGAAAGCTTGCACCAACAGACCCCGAGCTGCCCGATGTGCCGCTGCCCACTCCAACTCCGGCGACGAGCCCCAAGCAGATCTAGCAATCCCATGTGTTTAGTGGTTAGTTGATTTTTTTCTTTTTGTTTTTGTGTTTGTGTGTGTGGGGGGGGGGGGTGTTTTGGTGGTTTAGGATTGAGCTTTTGGGGGGAAGGTTTGGGTGTTTACTATTTAGTTGCATGTTGCGTGTTACCGTGTGTAGGTTTAGTTGCTTCTCTATGTTTCGGGGATGAGGGTTGAGTTTCATGTTGGCCGTGTGTGGTTTAGTGTTTTTTGGGGTATTTAGGGGTTTGGGGTTTCATAGGGGGACCTAATGCAAGTAACTACAAGCACTGCTCCTTCGGGTTCCCACTGTGAACTCAATACAATATTCCCCACAATCGTACTCTACGCCTTAAGGCCTCTATTTTGGGGTTGTTGGCTTTAGGTCCAGGCTTCGAGTTTCAGGAGGCTTCAGGGAGCTCCCGGAGCGCAGGGCGTTTGAGTGCGAGATGTTCAGTCTGCAAGTACGGCAAGCCGAACTCGAGGCAGGTCATGCTTGGTTTGGTATCTTGTACTTCCAGATACAAGCTGGAAAGTTCGGTGTCCCTAAACCCCCCCCGAAGTAGGTAAAATAATGGCCCAATAGCTACAAAAGGGCATTACTCTACATACTTTGGGAGTCCAGGTCCTGACGTTTATGCCAGAGCGAGTAGGAGGTCCCAAGTGTAGGAGGCCGGAGTTGATGTCACACCGACGGCAACAATGCGGACTCTTCGAGACTATTCAACAGGACGCCGACGATTGATGCACAATCGGGGAAGGGAGCTTCGGCAAGCGAGCGGGTTTCTTATCCAGGCTTTGCAGGACGTATATAAACCTTTCCAGCGGCGAAGAGGAAATCGGTGGGTTCAGCCTTGTGCCAAGCTCGGGTTCCACGTTTGAGATAAACGCGGGCTTGGATGCGTAAGCTGTCCTGAAACCTGTTGGATGAGTATAAAGCTTCATGGTGTGGCTGATTTGGGAGATGCCACCTAGACTCGAGCTGCGTTTCCGAGTTCCTGAAATCCTACAACCCGAACTTTCTGAACCACACTAAAATCCTGCTGCAACCTGTGTAGGACCCCTTCTAATACTGGTAACCCCGAAAGCCTCAGACCCCAAACTAGGCCTCTCCCAGCTTCGTCTGCATCAGTCCGAATCAGTCCTACCAGCCCTGTTTTGCGCTGTGGGATTTGATGTGTCGCGTTTCTCCGAGGTGGTACGTGAGGTAGGCCAAGAGTAACCTCCGCCTCCGCCTCCTCGATGCTACCCATCACCGACCGGACGAATCCAAGTATCCAGCCTACCTGTAAGCCGTCCTTGACAGCCATTGTGACGTATCTCAACCTTCACATGCCACTGAACTTAGGACAGATTGAGGAGTTCCTCCAAGACAACAATCCCCGTTTCCAGTCTGCATCCAGGCCTATTCAGGCATCTTACTACCTTTTGGACGCCGTGCAGGAGTGTTGACTGTGCATGTGTTACTGTGTGTACATGGTCTCTGCTAGCTGTGTTTGTGTGTCTCTGTCCATAAATGTCCATCCACCCTTTGTGCCATGCGTGGTGATCTGCTTGACAACGCTTGGACGGTTGGATGAAGCATGGATGTTCGTCATTTCTGTCCATCTCTGGTCCATCTCTTTGTCTGTGGCCATGGTGTTTTCATTGTCCCGCCTCGAGATTGTAGTGCAGTTATGCTGCAAGCCTGCCACGGCCCTTGCCCCATCGTTGCTACAGCCGGGGCAGAAAGCTTGCAGAAGTGCTGGAGACCGAAACATGGTCCTTGCGCACTACGGAAATGGTAACACTGCGCGTGTTTCCACATCGCTCCGACTGGCGGGATGGTTACCTCTGCCCATAGGCTCCATAATAGTTCCTTTGTGGGCTCATATATAGAATCCTATGAGGTAACCCCAAAAAGGAATCCCTATGGAGCCTGTGGGTAGGATGCTGGGTTGACACATGAATATGTCGATTTTATACTCGATGAGTCGATGGTCGAGGGTTCCATGCCGAGTGTGACAAGCACGTTCGCATTGCGTGCAGCCGACACCTCAAAAAGGACATCAACCTTAAGGTCCCGTATGTACGAGCTTGAATCATTACCCGCATTGTTCCTGAGGGTTCCTTACTTCAAATCGACAACGACCAGAAAAGAAGCTCTTCAACCCCAAACTAATTTTTCAGGCCCCTACTGTGGATGGACAATATCCTGCATGACCCAATGTAGGGAATATACCATGATTCCCATAGTTTAGGGTCCTTAAGGTCATGCAGGATTTTGTCCATCAGCAGTATTTTAACGCCCTGAAATCAAAGCCTGGGCCCAGATCCCCAAAGCGAAGATGACATGGATCCGATCTGTCAGGTCATGCCGAGTGCCGAAACCGCGACCAGCAGGCTAGAGAAGTGGCTGTAGGGATTCGGGATTCAGGGCAGGCTAGATCTGTGGTTTTAGGGATTTGGGTGTAGGGGTCAGGGTTTATGCTAGGGCAGGCTAGATCTGTGCGTCTTCAAAGTCTGGAATGCACGGTTGAGATCTCAAAGTTTTGGGTTAGCTCATAGAAGTCCGCGAGTGCAATTCGGGAAGCAGGAACTCGGAACTTTATTTTTAGACTAATCCCAACCGACACATAGGTTGATATTGGGAAAGCTGCCTTGTGGACATGCCAGTCCAGCTTCGTTTTGTCGCGGGGTCCTTCTCAGCTGGATTCGGGCTTAGGGTTTAGGGCTTTTAGGGTTTCGGGCTTTTAGGGTTCAGGGTTTGGGGTATAGGACCTGCATGAGATCTACCCTATACTTTGGCCTGGAGTTACGACGGTTGATGACATAAATCCTGGGGCTCCTTAAAGGGATGTTCCTTTAAGTGATCTATAGGGGGTTTAAGGTTTAGGGTTTAGGATACAAACCCTGCATTGCCTTAGGGACTCTAAACTATGGGCATATTCCTTATTATGGGTAGTGCAGGATTATCATCAACCGCGTGTGTAGAATTTCTGAGCAGCCATGCAATTGCAAGGTCCCTGGGTCTCGGGAGAAAGGTTGTAATATAGGGGCATTAATAACTATCAATACTATATATATATATATATATATATATATTTTTTTTTTTTTTTTTTTTTGGGGGGGGGGCGGGTGGTCCTTATTATGATTATAGAATAGTGGGCCCCAAAACCCAACTCTAATAATTAAGGCCCCTGTATAACGAGGTTATTGCTGTGAAGGGCATGCCTTCCCCAAGATCACGAGCAAGTCATCAGCCTGGATCGCTGAATCAACACAGAAGGTCAGAACAAATCAGCCGGCTTCGGATTCCTAGTCTCCTAGTCCTAGACCTTCGAAAACCGATAGTGATCACGACCATGAAAGTCCAGGACGCTCAATGCGTGGTTTACTATCCTTACCATATTCTGCCATGTCCTCGGGCTCCAGCTACCTAAATCGTGGGCTACTGGGGTATATAATGTGTGGTTAGGAACCTACTGTTTGGATAACTGGAGCCCTAGGGATATTCATCCTGTATATGTTTCCGAACCCTTAACCCTAAACACCTTAGCCGTGCAGGTTCTTCGTGAAATGGCGCAGCGAGTGCGTGATGATGGCACCGACGACTTCCAAGATGTGGACTGGTGCAAGGTGCCGGCAAAGGGTCCGAGGTTTAGGGTTTAGGGTTCATACTGCCATGGGGATACTTCCCGAATCATACCAGTAGTTCCTAAGTCCTAGCCCTCAACCCTAAACCCTAAAATTACCATCCTAACTCAGGCAGGGAGAAAAGAGGGTTTAAAAAAAAAATCGAAACCCTACATTCGGCGATATAGGTCCTGGGGACCCTTGGTGTTGGTCAAGCCCAAGTATGCGCGAACGAAGAGCGCTTTTGTTGCGACAGGGTGTCGGAAGCCCTGAAGTGTCCAAGTATCATTGTGGTATATGGGAATGTCCGAAAATAGGGGTGCCTTATTTAGGGGTCCTTATAATTTATAATAAGGATCCTACTATTTGGGGTACTATATTATATTAGGGTCCCCTGTTTTCGGAAACCCCCATATACTTATAGGGTATTTGGGGGGTCTACGTATGTACCATAATGATACTTGGATTCTTTGGGAGCAATTTTCGGGCGGAGCGTTCGCCTTCTCGCAGTGAGCAACAAAACATTCTTTGTTCGAGGCCGCGTTTTTGCTAACTTCAGTATCCAGCTAGGACCCGTGTAGGAACCCAATCAGGCCTTGATTGCTTCTGATACCCGCTCAAACCGACCCATCATATCTCACATAGTGCCTGTGTAAATTCATGCTTGTTTCCAACGAGGAAGCAGCTTTGATACGTTTACTCAAGGAGTTTTTGGAATTGGCAGGACAACAATGGAAACGATGCTCTTCTCACGGGATATGCTATGCCTGCTATGTCATGCCACACATCACGACCAACACATCGAGCACATGGGTTCCATGCGTGGAATGTCAGTTGCCAGGCCCTTTACCGTAGAGCGAATGAAGACCGTTCGAACCACATGAATGGCCATCATGCCGGCATGTGAAGTGCCAGTGGTCTACGTGCAAGTCCTGCCTATCAAGCCCATACACCCCAGAATGTTCAACCGTGCACGGCATGGGCAGGTGCTGCGTGTGGCAGCGCTGACGATCATGGGTGGCCTGGCGGTGGGCGCGATTGCCAGCTTGATCGCCAAGGTCTGGTCAAAGGGCAGACGGTGCAAAGCTTTCCTGAGATGGTCAAAGCATAAACGTGCTCATGCATAATCGCTTTTCATTCGTTGCCGCCCAGTGCCAAACCCTAAAACTCTAAACCCCTAAAAGTGCCATCGTATCAGCTGCAAGGAGAACCGAAAAAGGCGAGATGACGACTGACTGGACTGCCGAGCCGGCAAAATGCAGCTTGGCGCCATGTGCCGATCGAAGGGGAGAGAAGATCCTTAAAGTTCAGAGTTTCTTGACTGTAGTGTGTCGATGATGCCCTAGATCCGCTCATGTGTTTTCTGGAGATGTTGCTTAATGTACTTCGCAGCGATACTCATCGTGGTAAGACGAAGTGGAAGCTGAATTGAAACACCAATTATAATGCTAGTTATGAAAATGAACTTTATTAACGACAACGCTAGCGGTATCAATATTACCGATAATGACTGCAATAACAATGAGGATAATCACAATAATACTAATCATAATGATAGTAATATCGGTCCTCACAGTCCTACTAGGGCGACCACGATCACTGCCTCTACCAACAAATAACTCTCACCGCCACTCCCGCTGCTACGTCTACGACGCGGACTACTACCATCACATTGTGCTGGGAATCGAATCTAGAGCCGATCAGTTGTTCCGAAATCTTGCCAATCTTGGTCGAGTCATTGGTCGAGGGCAACATTGGCAAGATTGCCCCCCCCTCCCCCCCCCACCGCCCCCACACCAAGTGGTGCCAGTGGTGACAGTGGTTGTGGTCAAGATGCCCAAGATTGGCAAGATGACTGGTGAGCCCCAGCCGACCCCCCTTCACCCCCCCAAGGATGCCGATCAAGATTGGCAAGGTTAGATTCCCACCACACTGCACGACCACTGTTACTACCGGAGCTACTGCTGCTGCTACTACCACTATTACTACTACTACTACTACTACTACTACTACTACTACTACTACTACTACTACTACTACTACTACTACTACTACAGCAACAGCAACTACTACTACCACTACTACTCGTACTAGTACTAGTACTAGTACTAGTACTAGTACTAGTACTAGTACTACTACTACTACTACTACTACTACTACTACTACTACTCCTGCTGCTGCTACTACTACTACAGCAACAGCAACTACTACTACCACTACTACTACCTCTACTGCTGCGACCACTGCCACTGCCACTGCCACTGCCACCCCCACCGCTACTGCTAATGCTACTGCTATTGCTGCTGCTGCTGCTGCTGCCACCACCACCACCACCACCACCACCACCACCACCACGGGCGCTACTTGCTACTACAACAACTACTGCTACTACTACTATCATTGCTAGGCCTATGGCGACTGCTAGTACTACCACCGCTTCTTTTCCCAGCAGTGTGCACTGGCCTGGGATGCACGCGGCGACTTCGGTGCTCCCACTCGGTCTGCGTGCGGTTCCCCGCAAAATCTGGGGGTTCTCCAGATTTCGCGCCGAAATCACGCTTTTGCTTGCATGTCCTGTGCGGGCAAGCTGATCCCAACCGCTGCTTGGCGTACGAGTCTTTCGCTGTAGTCAGGGACAAGGACACGATGAAGTTCAGTAATTCTTCCTGCTACTGCTGTGAATGTAAGCCTGCTCATACATGCTGATTGGATCGCCATGTGTTGCCTCCTGCAAAGTCATTGCAGGGAACTTGCAGCGGCAATTCCAGAATTGTTTGAATTGGGCCATCCTGGCCGGAGCACGCGGGAAGCAGTAAGCCTTGGACGTCTGGCCCTCGAAACATTTCCGAAATGTCAGAAAGCTGCAAGCAAGGCCGTAGGTTGCACTTGTCTTTCTGTAAGGGCACTGCTGCAGCCAGACTCCTAAGTCCTTAAACCATGCGGGGCTTTTCGAAAATGGGGGATCCTAACATACTGCCCTAAATAGTAGGATATTGGCATCCTTATTATAAGGAGCTTAAAATAAGGTACCCCCCCCCCCCCCCCCCCCATTTTCGGAAACTCTCATTCAGGTGCAGGCCTGCCACAAGGATCAACTCTGCTTCGTCCTGCGCAAACTCCTGGCATGCCCGAAAGTTGGATCCGTGCAAAATCGCAGATCTCCGGATGCCTGGGGGAAGGTAGCTACTTGGAGGTTCATGGGTAGTTATAAGTGGAGTTATAAGTTCCCCAATATGGCTTGTAATTATAGTTACCCTATTTATAATTCCACTTATAACTACCCATGAACCTCCAAGTATTCCTTAGTGTATGCTATATGGCAAAGCCCTACTGAAGAATTGTAGCCGCTAAGCCCCCCATATTGGAGGGCTTTAAGTCTGGCTTAGGAGCCTAGAGGGTGGAATGCATACGTACATGCATACATACCGACAGTGTACACAACGACATACAAAGCACATATGTAATCCACATTTACATACATAGACATACTTGATACACATACTCGTACTGACGCACACTTATTTGAGCTGTGGGATCAGAGAAGTTGGTAAGATTAGGGCTTCGGGTTTCCAACAAGACTGCCACGCAGCCTGTGGCTTCTGCTGTGACGCTCCAGGCATCTGTAGCCCCGAGGCATATGGGAGTGTGATAAAAAATTATGTTGGGGAGACCTTCTCCAGGGGGGCGCATGACGATGACCCTCCCAGGTAGGAACTGTCAAAAGGTCCTTGACTTTTTGAACTCCCGCGTTATTGAGTATGCCACACTTCCCCGCTTCAACAGCATCTCTGATGGGTCTGTAGCTGGTACAGGAGGACCTGAGCTGTTGGCGAGAAAAGAAAAATGGAATGTCCGAACTTCCCTTTTTGCTGCGTAGAGCCCTAAAGCCCTAAACCCAAAACTTTCGCCGTGAGCTCTACATTACAGTCCGGAATGTATAGATTTGGGTTCGAGGTTCAGACAGAAAACAGCGCAATGCTCCTTCGAGTTGTTGATTGAAGGTTCAGGGTTCTGAAGCAGCAGATTGTATCTGCCTTCAGCGCATCTGAGTAGATGAACAAACATGGGAGCTTTAGGGAAGCAACTTCATGATATGCATTTACCCGAGGGCTCCAGCTACATAAAAAAACAGTAGGTTATCGGGGCATGTAATACATGGTCAGTACCCTACTATTTAGGTACCTAGAGCCCTATACACGGTTTCAATAGAAGTTCAGATTTTTGTGGAGTGCTCTGCTGCTTGTCCCGGCTGCCAGGTGCGATAGACCCGCCGCAGTGACTCGTCTGCCATGTCTGGAGTTTAGGGCTACCGGCCATGACGTGGGCAGCACAGAAGCGTCAAGGGTTTTAAGGTGTGACCTTCCTCGAACCCAATTCCCGAAAATCGAGAGCATACAGGCTGCTAACGCTCATTTACCCCCCAGCCCGCGACAAAGCCACGCCAGAAGCTCTCATATCCTTATCCATAGGCCCCAAAGTAGTTCTTTTTTGGGGTTCATATATAGAATATTATAAGGTACTCCCAAAAAGGAACTACTTTGGGGCCTCTGGGTATCTACAAGCTGGACCTTCTCGGCCTGAGGTTTGAGGCATACGGGGCATCAGCAGTGAAAGAAGATTTCGGAAAGCGCAGGCACAGCTTGCAGTAGCTTCAAAACGGTTGCGGACTTGGCTGGTGTTTCCTGTGAAATCTACCCCCATAACAGCCCTGAGCCCAAATGGGTAGTTCTCTAAACTCGGGTCCCTGTTTTGGTCCCCAATAGTATGGCACCCTTATGAAAAATATCCTAAATCGGATCTTAGTTTGGAGAACCCTAAACCCTAAGCCCTAACGCAAAAAGGGATCCTAATTCAGAGAAGTACCCAAATGCTAAATAGTATAGCACCCTCGTGAAAAGGACCCTATAAGGACCCTATACTTTAGACTAGAGACCTACCCAAATGCTAATCCCTAACCCTAAGAGGGACCCTATAATTCAGGCAAGTACCCAAGGTGCTAAGGTACCCAAATAGTATAGCACGCTCATGAACTGAAACGGACCCTATAAGGACCCTAATTTCCAGACCTACCCAAATGCTAAGGTACCCAGAGACCCTACGGCGAGTTCGCAGCCGACTCAAGCCCGGAGGAGTCCGACACCCCGGAGCCATCGCTTGGTTGACTTAGGGTTGAGGGGTTTAGGGTTTTAGGGTTTAGAGTTGAGGGTTGAGGGGTTTATTAGGGGTTGAGGGGTTTAGGGTTTTAGGGTTTAGAGTTGAGGGTTGAGGGGTTTATTAGGGGTTGAGGGGTTTAGGGTTTTAGGGTTTAGAGTTGAGGGTTGAGGGGTTTATTAGGGGTCGAGGGGTTTAGGGTTTTAGGGTTTAGAGTCTAGAGTTGAGGGTTGAGGGGTTTATTAGGGGTTGAGGGGTTTAGGGTTTTAAGGTTTTCAGGGTTTGGGATCTCGGGGTTCTTTACGGTTTAAAGGGTTTAGGTTGAGGGTTCAGGATTCCGGTTCAGACAGGCTCCCAGGACATCCAAGGAGGGTGGCATGCATCAGCTCATGATGATGTACACATACAAATGAAGGATATGTCGGATATGTATATGCATGTACGAGACTATATGTATATATGTATGTGTGTATATCATCTACCTATATATATATATATACGCACATACATACATACACACATCGTTTTAGACTGTGTAGCGTCTTGCCTGCCTTTGCTTGAAAAGCCCTGGAACTTGACACATCGCCGCGCAATACTGGCTAGAGTGACCACATGTTGATGTCAGTGTGCAACAAAGGCTCGTGAGGCACTGTACTGCAGCATAGAAAGTTCGTACCCCAAGCCCACTCCACAAGTTCAGGAGTGAAATTTGCTTTCTGCGCCATTTGGCAGTTTGCTAAAATGGACGAGTCACGTGTTTGAGGTTCTTCGCGGCCATGCATGGGATGGATTGGAACAGATCGTATAGTCAGATAACTTCTGCTACTCTTCCATAGGGTTTCTTACACGATACAAATGCAGTTTTTTCCCGGGAAGCCTCTTCTAATTGTTAAGTCCCCAATGTTAGTTCTGACTGTCCCTCCCTCTCTCTCTCTCTCTCTCACTATATATATATATATATGCATATGTTCATACATGCATACATACATACATACCCTGCAGTGCATGCATGCATACATGCACACATTTGCATCTTTGTGTGTATGTGTGTATTTTATACATATATATACAGACACACACACAC